AATCCTACTTCCGTAGTGATACTGCCTTGGAAACCCAAGGAGGGGTTGCTATGAGTCGGGGCCGACTCGACGGCACATAACAACAACAACAACATGTTGTTACTTGCCGTCGAGTTGGCTCCAATTTATAGCAACCCTGTGTACAACAGAATGGAATACTGTCCCATCCTGTGCCAGCCTCACGATCCTTGCTATGCATGAGCCCATCGTTGTAGCCACTGTGTCAATCCACTTCATTGAGGGCATTCCCCTCTGTCATCAATCCTCCACCTTACCAAGCATGACATCCTTCTCCAGGGAATGTTTCCTTCTGACAACATGACCAAAATAGGTGAGACAAAGTCTGGCCATTCTGGCTTCCAAGGAGCATTAATTGCTGGATTTAGAGCCAAACATAACTTCTTCTGTTTGGGAGCCAGTTACTTTACGACATTGAGCTTCAGTTTTCTCATCTATAAAATGGGGTTAATAATACTCACTTGGCAGCTTTCTATATTGTTGTTGTTGTTGTGTGCCATCGAGTCAGACTCGACTTATAGTGACCCCTCCTTTTGTTTCCAAGGCAGTATCATTACGGAAGTAGATTGCCCAGCCTTCCTTCTGAGGAGTGGCTGGTGGATTTGAACTACCAGCCTTCAGGAAATAGCTCTTTTTCCTGTCTTAGGCCCTTTTCACAAGAGGCCCTGTGTGCCCAAGAAGCATGTTGTTGGCTATTAGATGGAAGGCATAAAGGAGAGAACAGTTTTTGTGAGGTTGCATGGGGACAGGGCTTCCATTCTGAACAAGAGCCAGGAAAACAGTGCACCTGGGTCAACTATTGTCCTGTTCCCCCTGGGAGCTCATTTGGAAGGTGGATAGTGTATCTTTTCCCAGTAAAGCCTTTGCATATTTTGCTGTCTTTACAAGTTGACAGAGGGACCTGGTCAGATTACACACTTCTCCGGAATGCTTTGGACCATGAGTTTCAAGTCTTGGATCAACTTGATTTCTCAGGGCTTGCCCTAATTCATAAGTTACTAATAAAATATATTTAAATTTTACACTATGAAGATATGAAGATTGTTTCCCAGTAGACAAGCAAATGAATTATATGCATAATGGTCAAATTCATGGGGTGGAATTTACTTTTGAATGAAATTTTGTGTGTATCCTCAGTAACTGGTATGTGATGTTGTCATGAAGTAGCCTTAAACCCTCCAAGTGAGGCACATGTGTGTGGGGGGAGGTGTTTAAATGAAACACAACTAATTAGCCTTTACAGTTACATGTAACACACTGCCTTAAAGGCAAACCAAACTAGGTAGAAGTTGAAAATTCCTTCTTAGTTCACCAGTGGTAAGTGATTATTATATTCTGTAGCAATCAATCCATGCCTTTTGAAATTTTGACTGCAAAATGATTTAATGATACAAGTGACAATTCCCTTTTAAGAATTCACAGTCAGGGAGATGTGACTGAATTCCTCACCTGTCTGACTCCAACCCTATCCCTCTTCCCCTTTCCCTCCCCCATGGGATGGTAAGGTTTCCTGACAAAGGATCACCAAGTAGAAAAATACATTGAGAACAACAATCACCCAAAATCTAGTTCTGGCTTGATTATGATGCAAAGGTTATAGAGCACCAAACTCGTGTCCTCTTGTTTCTTCTAGGAGAGAAACCCTACAAGTGTACCTGGGAAGGCTGCACCTGGAAGTTTGCGCGATCGGATGAACTGACAAGGCATTACCGCAAACACACGGGAGTGAAGCCATTCAAGTGTGCGGACTGCGATCGAAGCTTTTCCCGGTCAGATCATTTGGCACTGCACCGCCGGAGGCATATGCTGGTGTGAGGAATGCTACCTGTCCAGCTAAGCTTAAGAGCTGGATCTCTTAGCGGCACCCAATTCAGCAGGGCTGGATCCCCTTCACAGTGTTAACACAAAAGGGCATCACCATCCCAAGATGTCTGAAACCAGAGCAGGAAAAAGAAGTAACACTTCTCCCTTTGGTCTGAAGGTAACCCCCATCATGAGTACCCGAGAAACGTCTTCACGCTGGCCTGGGAGATCAGTGGCATAAATGCTGAGGAAACAGGAATTGTTTTCCATGCTGTGTACTCTGCCATTTAAAGATGTTTGTAGCTTGTACATTTTCTGAGCTGTCAGACATTTTCTTATTGATACTTTAAAGGTCAGCTACCACAAATTGATGGCTAGTGCAAGACCTTTTAAATTTGGATTCTTCCTCCTCCCTCCCGCCCCTTCACCCATTTTTACAAAAAATTTTAGTTACTGTCTAAGTAAGATAGAACACACATCCAATCTGTTACCAGCACGCAGCATGAACGTAGAAAAGAAGCAGCTGTTGGAGAGTTTCCATTACCTGCAAATAAAGGGGCCCTCAAGCAGCCCTTTGCAGTAGTGATGACGGCAATTAGATATCACCTGCAACTTGTCATTATGCCATGCCCTGAAGAAAACCAACATTGAAACTTTCATTTGTTTGTTGTTGATTGTTTTTGTTTTGTTTTTATTCTGTTTTGTTCATCTGTTCAAGCGGAGGGGCAGCGACATTTCGGTTGAAGCCTAGTCCTGTTGTCTGCCTGGCATGGACTGGCACAGAGGTGTTCTGTAGTTGAATAGGAAGAGCCTGTCTAAAAAAACTACTGCCCCACTTCAAATTGTAGTGTTCTGTCACCTAGGCATCATCTCTCCCAGCCCTTAGTATTTGATTACAAGGAATGGGGGGGGGGGAATCTTTCTTAGACATACTGGCACCAAGGTAAGAGGTGGGGCTGCCCAGGCAAAGTCAGTGAACATGAAAAATCAGACAAAGCAGAGATAGAAATAATGCGCCTCTTGAGGAGAAAAGCAATAATGAATAAAAGGACTTTCCTACAATAACTTCACTGAGGACTCACGTTACCAATTTTCATACTTACTAAAGGGATTGTAAGAAACACCCCAGCATTTTAGATGTCTTGGTTACATTTACAGCATCGAGGTATTCTTTCTGCTGTTTGTTGTCCTGCTTGGTTGAGTACCACAATTAAAGATTATGCTCCCCTTTTCTTGTTTGAAACAGTTATTTGGTCATTAGAAAGGCAAAGGAAGCATAGCACGGGGATTAACTCTTGGGTTAATGAGTCAGTTCTCTTTGGAATGGAGTGAGCGGAAAGGGAGTGCTCCCCAAGGAAAGAATGACATGGTGCTAGTTTTCTTTTGGAGAGCCAAGGATAGGCGACTCTCCAATAGGTTCTCCTCTACAGATTTCATTTCCTAAACTGCATGAGGATCCAACAGTTCATTGGCATCTGCAGGGATGTTGAACCCATTCATCCTATACTGAGGATGAAAGGAAACTGTAGTCCCATCAACCCCTCTAAAGATGAGCCTTTTTTGCAAGTAGCCGAGTATATAGTAAACAAAGCAATACATCACCAACAAGCATTCTTTCAGAAAAAAAAAAAATTAAAAATCTATATATATATATATATATCCCCCCACCCCCACTAAAAGCTGTTCTTTTTCCAGCTTTATGTGGCTAAAACTTTAAGGGGCTTGGTGAGGTTTTGTTGTTGTTGTTGTTCTTGTTGTTAAGAATTTTTATAGCTTAGATATAAAAGGTCTTTAGCAAAGGCCATTGCAATATATTTTAATTATAAACACTTGATTTTGGGAATTGCACAAATTAACCTCACAATATTACTAGCTCATTTTTGAAATGTTTGAACATGCTGAAATAATTTCTGATTACAGAATTATCCTTTTAAGGATTATCTTCTAATTCTGATAATTTTGTTCTGATGAAGGAAGAACTATGAACACAGAGACAAGGAATAATTGTTTTGGGTGGTATTAAAAAGGAATTTTTTAAGATGTTCAAGCAAAAATATAATGATTTTTTTCAGGTCAAGTTCTGTCCTCAAAAAATATGTGCTCAACATTTTCTGCCAGGGCTGACAGAATTCTTCAGGCAATTTCCCTCCAACAAGGGCTGCAATTCTATTGATAAGTAGTTTCTTTGGCTATACAATCTGCTGCCCATCAGGCTACACAATCTACTACCCACCAAGCCTGTTTTTTTTTTTGTTTTTTGTTTTTGTTTTTGGGTTTTTTTTTAACCAACTGGAAAGGTTTTTTATTTTTAAAACCTGTACTGTATGCAACTCCTACTTCTCATTGTCTGTGACCATTCAAAATAGAAAAAGGCTTATCGATGCATGCCAGCAGTGGTAACTGGTCAGTGCAAAAATCACAGGGTGGCAAACACAGCTGCGAACTCCTGTACAAAAAATCCCAGAACCTAGTTGACAGGTAGTAGATGAATCACTCAGGTAAAGTGTAGATTTGATTTAATTTTGCCTGTGCTCATCAGAAGGACCAATCCATTTCTCTGCTGAGATATGCCTTAGGAGTATTACAGGTAGAAATGATTTTTAGAATTCTTAGAACTGACAGGCAGTAGGAGCCTCCTGATTTTCAGTTTGATTTAAATTTAGCACAGAACTAAATGATCTCCTGTCTAACCACATAGGAAAAATTCAGGGAAATGAGCTTTTCTTCTTGCCCTCTGAAAATGGAAACCAGACTGAGACGGTAAGTTAAACAATAAAACCTGTCAGCATCACGCCATTTCTCCCTCTTAAGGTATCATTACTTCTAAGGAGGGATCCAAGCACAAGTAAATGAATTGAGTTGCTGGTAGAGTAAAGATATTTAAATCAGGCCCCAAGAGGTGAAACTTGAGGCTTGCCTTGGGACATAGCAGATTCTCCTTGGTGAGCTGTCTACAAGTGTTTTCCAATGGAAAGGAAAGTGGTTTGGGATAGAAGGAAATGGGTTTTGTAGAGATATTGTGAAACATGGAAAAGATGCCATTTTATCTTATGTCCATTTCTAGCCTCTTTGAAAAAAAGCACAGTACATGATGAACAATAGAAAAGGAGGTAGAATCCTAAAGGGATTGGCAAATTGTTTCCTAACTAGAAGCATTCTTTGGTTTCATTATTTGAAGCTATTTGAGTTGCTGCTGAAGATACATGTATGTTTGTGAACTTATCTGCATAGTGTTGTCATGGTGTCAGAAGCTTCAGTAGAAATGATTCTCTCTTTGCTTTGTAGAGATTGATTTCGAGGGGTTTTTAAAAATTGCAGGGAAAAGTTAAGAGGTTCCAGCTGAGGTTTTAATAGAGTCCCTTCTCATATTCTGGTCTTCAATTGTTTGGGAAAAGATTCCCGCTGCCACACCCCCTCCAGCCTCATCCTGTCAGTTGTGCATGGGCTCGGAGAACCTTGCTTGGTAACTTGTCTTTAAGTTCTGTTAAGGCCTTTAGATAGAGATTCCAAGGGGCTTTCCCATAAAGATGATACTACTGCCTGGCATTACTTTACAAAACACTATAGGACATTTAGTTTCCAAAGCAGTTAAATAGCAATAATATAAACCACAGTTTTTTTAAAGATGAATACTTTTTTATTCACTTTAAAGATTAAGTGGGAAATAGGAAGACCCTTGTCATGGGAAAAAAACTTACAAAATGCTGTAGTGTTTACCAATGCCAGTTCCAGATGATTAGAAAGACCATTTTCATCATTGTGGAAACTTGGAATAGCTTATGCAAAGACTATATTTCCTTTCTTTTTTTTCTTTTAAATACAATTTCTTTTTTGTTTCAAATTACCATTTGTATTTTAAACATAAATATAAATCTGCACTTTGAAATCAGTTCATTAGAATGATGATCTGTATATGGATAAAGATGCAGTATTCCTTATTCTGTACTTTATTTATTATACTTACCAAAGCTCCAATTGAATAAATCTGGTGAGGTGAGGCCTTCAAATGTATTACTACGCCTTTGTTGTTGTGACTGCTTAGAAATGTAGCCATGATATTGTTATAAAGATGTCTTAACATTTCTAGTAAGGACTGATAGAATTTAAACAGTGTTAAGAATACCAGCATCCATGTTTCATTGAGTTACAGTCTGTGTGTAAGGGACTAAAGTGATATAACTTTTATGAATCATCATAGGCCCAGGAAGCCTTAATACTCATAGTCTATAATCCAATCTCTTTTGCTCTTTACTAATTCCTGTAAATTTAGCCGGTAAAATGTATTCAATTACATCAGTAATCAAATCTTTTACTTTAGCTTTTAGGAGATAGAATATCCCATTAAAAATATTTATAATTTGCTTTTTTTTTTTTTTTTAAGAAGAAGGATTCAGTATGTCATGTCTTGCATACTACTTTTCTATTTATCCCTATATTACTTTTCAGTTATCTGTACAGGCACTCCCAAGACATGCACATGTGCATACACATCTGTATAGGCAGCCAGTTGGCCATGCATACTTAAAAAGTATCAACAAGGAATTTTTTTAAAAAGAGAAAATTTGTAATAATCCATGTGGTCTAGAAATGTAAGTTATTTACCTTATTAGGGAATCAGCTTTTAATGCTATATATGACTTTGCCTGCATTTTGTAGTTAAGAAATGTACATAAAACTAAAAATGCTATATTTTCAGTTTCATTATAGAGCAATGTCTGTTTAGCAACCCATGCCCCATTGGTACTTTAAATATGCTAAATACTGAGCAATTGCAATAGAAATTCAGATTTTCGTAAGAAGATGAAATAGGAGGATACTGCATCTTTAAAAAAAAATAGATTGAAGATATTTTACTGTATTCATAACGTGATAGTGGAAAAATATTTTCAAACTCACAAATTTTACAAAGGTTGTAAATAGTTTGATGAAGTATGTTGAGGAAAAGAGCTTCTAGTTTTCATCACAATAAAATTAAAAAAAAAAAAAACTTGTTCAGATATGCCTTGTATATCTTCCACACAATTAGCCGTATTGCCATGGGAACTCAATTGTTCCACTTTGTTAGAGCAGGTTCCTTGTCTTTGTAATGGAGTGGCCACTTGT